AAAAAAAAAAACACTCTAACTAGCAAACATACCTCTTGTCTACTCCAATGGCTTGACAATACAACTCATACATCCACACTCGCCCGACTCGCCTTTCTTCCAAACTAACCTCTCTCACGAGCAACGAATCAAAACGTTAACCTCACGATCCAATTACCTCCTTAGTCGAAAGTCCTCAATCGTACACGCGAATGTCGAATCGAAACGCCTTCTCTACGGCGTAAAAATCGGGATCGGCACTTTCAAATCCCAACCTTCGTACAAAGAGTACTACTTAGATATGGACACGGGTAGCAGCCTGACGTGGCTCCAATGCAACGGCTGCAAAAAATGCTTCAAGCAAACAACACATATCTAACGTTCGGAGATTACACCTACACGACCCATAGAAAAATCGCTAAAAGCACACCGCTTTATAGAAGGCAAAAACAGTTCTATTCCGTGGAAATGCAGGGCATTAGCATCGATAGGACGAGGCTCAAGATTGACCCGCGAGTGTTGGCATTCAAAATCGGTTCTATCACATCGGACTGCATAACCGATGTGGGCACAACTTACTCAAGGATCATTAGACCCGCCTTTGAAATTTTGAAAAAGGAGTTAGAAAAGTATTTTTCGAGATTCAAGGACTTGAAGAAAATCAAAAGGGACATCGGACTCGATTTATGCTACGAGAGGAGCAAGGCGAAAGGGTTCAAAGATCTACCTGATATTACCTTCCATTTACAGGGAAAAGCGGACTTCGTTTTGAAGCCTAAGGCTGCGTTCGTGGTCGTAAGTGAAGCTCGAGAATTCTTTTGCCTGGAAATGGCTTCGGATTATGAGATGTCCATTATTGGAGCTCATCAACATACAAATCATAGGATCATTCATGATGTTATGAACAAGAAACTTGTGTTCTATCCAGAGGATTGTTCTAAGAACCCATGAGAGGCTTTAAAACACCTATTAAAAATTTCAGGAATAAAATAGAATGCTTTCATCACTTGGATTTGTGATCATGATCAGTAGCTAAATTGAACTTTTTTTTTCATTTAAGCTAAATTTCAAGGGTAGTGATTATTGGCCAAGATATCATCTTTCACAGCTTTAGACAATCACTTTAAGTCTATAGGCATCTAATGGCAGTTATTACAGTTATCCTATATAATGTGAAGCTGGGGATAAGTTAGAGATATGAGATTGGATAAAGATTGCAACTTTCACTAGCTTGAATTAACCAGTCATATCATTAAACAATTCTTACCTCACAAGATCTTTGTATAAGAACACTTTCATTTGAAATGGAAAGGATGGCTTGCATTAACATTTAAGAACACTTGCATTTGAAACCATATTGAACTTTTGTATGAAAATATGTTTTGAATTGTAACAATCATCGTCATCGTATTAGAGAGTTCGACCCTACAGGTGTTGGTATATGTGTCCTAGAGACAATCATTTTTAGGACATATATACATGATCACATTAATAATTATATTAGATTATAATTATGGTATTGCGATTAATTAAGTAATTGTTTGATTGTTTCCAATTTATTAATTAATTGCTCCCTTGAGTTAATACTGTCATTAACAGAGTGAGATGTTAATCGATAGAGTATAACTCTTAAATTGCCTCAATCGATGATCATTAAGAAAAGGGATATTAATGATGTGTTATAGATTGACATGTGGTCTGCATCATATTCTTCGAGAATATAGTATGTCTCACTACTATGAATAATTGTTATTCGTGATGGACACATGGATACTTTAGAGAGTATTGGTATACCCTACCGATAAACCATTTGTTTATGTGTCTATGGGAGTATTGGTGTGTGGAATGGTGTAATAGTCCTTTGACTTGAGGTCAATACGCAATTCATGTATAGAGTGATTTACTTAGACCTAGTCCAACGCTTACGCCCTTATGGGTAGACACGGGCTTGTGTTGGGTAGATCATGATATACATGGAATTGGTAGTTGAGCCAAGATGGGATTCATTCCTCGAATATAGTTTCGAGAGAACACTCGTTTTCTCTATACTGGGTTGATAAAGTCACTGGCCAGTGCATATGATTATATTTGAAATAGTGTTCAAATGTAATTGATAAAATCAACCAGTAAGATGAGATAAAATGATTAAGCTGTTTGGATAGACACACATTCAAGTCCTAAGCTTAATCGAGTGGGTCGTGAATGAAGGGACCGTATCACTATTGAATTCTACACTAAAGGTTTGTTTGCTTTGTCTATGTAAACGTACTTCATATTTTGAGTTCGTCCTTCGGCGCAGTCTAGGAGTTTCGTAAGGATCATAAATTAGATTTATGTCAATATATGAAGGCCTATAGGGTCACACAATATGCAATCTATTTCCCGGCTAAGAGTGAATCGAGAGTGTTAAATATTCAATTAGATTGGAATATTTAATTTTAGTAATGAGATTATTTTCTATTAAATAGAAAATATATAATTAAGTTTAAATTGGACTTAGACTTAATTAAATCATTAATTGGATTAGGTCCAATTACCTATTGGGCTATAGGTTGTCCTAATATAGCCCACATAATTAGGTTTAGCCTAATTATAAATAGGTGGGTATCTCTTTATCAGTGGTTAGAAATCAGATAATTGAGATACGCCGCAAAACATAAACTCTCCTTCTTGCTTTCTGACTGAGGATTCCTAGCGTCTTCACCAGAAAGGATTCACTGCGTTGGATCGTGCACCGGGATCTGGATTGCGTGGATACCATAGTTGAAGACAAAGATCTAGGATCAAAATCGAATAGCTATAACCGGATCTTCTTGTTGGTAAGAAAAAAATTTTAAAATTCCGCTGCGTGTGCGATTGATTCGTACAACTAAAATCCAACAGTACAATGTAAGTTAACAAAAGTTTGTTCGACAAGAGTACATTTATTTATTAACCGAGTCGAGTTTGAATAAAAAATTAGATTTGTTAATAATGGAACGAATACAAGCTCGTTCACAAATGTTCGATAGTATTCGCGAGCATTAATTTAACGTAATTTTATTTTTACATATATGTGCATAATATTTTTAACATAAAATCGAACAAATCTCAAGCTACTAAGGACATGCTTGTTTATTAAATATGTCATTTACATCAATTTACACTCAAAATCTAACTCAACTTTAACTCAACTTCACTATCATTAATATTACCAATATACTTAAATAATACAAATAAGTCATTCTTAACATCACATCAACTTTAATTCACTATTTATTTTAACTAACCATAACTTAACATCATATTTCTCCTACTTTTACATCAAATTAACTGTAGTTATTTTATTTTAAATGTTATTTTAATATAAACACAAAATTCTACTAATAACTACTCATATCTTGTTTTTCAAAATTGACCATAGTTAACAAAAAAATATCGTTTTGAGCGGATTTTATATGTAAACAAGCACGCCTTAAATTATTGAAGACGAATGAACTCTAACTTTGACAAACAATTAAATGAACGAGCTCGAACACAATTTTTTACTCAAAAAGTAAATGAAAGAACATGAACATTATTGTACATAGTCAAACACGAAATCATAATTCTCATGCTCGACTCGTCGGGTTCGATCAAGTTGGATTACATGATCACTAGTGTGTCAACAGCAAAGTCCGCAAGCCACATTTCATTTCATTAATTTGGTTTCATTAAAGATTAATATTTGATTTAATCTCTTAAGGAAAATGGGTCAAAAACACCCATAATGTTTGCTACAAGGTACATACGTGTTTATGAAGTTTCTTTAGGTGAGAATAAATGCTTAAAGTTCAGCTAATAATGATGTATACATTCTTTCTTAATAGGAAAATGACTTTGTTAACCTCGTTAACTTATGATCAAAAATACATTTAACATGATTTAAACACCTGCTAATAATTCTTTGGACAATTTTATATATGCAAAATAATAATAATAATAAATTGTTAATAAACGCAAAAAAAAGGTACTTCTAAAATTGTTTTGTCAAAAGGAAAAATAATTGCCACCATAAAACTGGTCTTACTTTAAGATTAAATTTAGCCTAATAAAATGGGAATGTTTGATTTCAGACAGTATATTTGTCTTAATTCAAAAATACTTTAAAAAAAAAAAACTCAAAAATACTTAATGCATGCAAATTTAAACTGCTACAATCTATATGTGAAACTTGTGCTCATGGGCGAAGCTACATGTATTAGTAGAGGGGCAATTGTCCCCCCTCAAATTTTAATTTTTTTACTAATTAATATCAAACATTTTCATTTGACCTCCTTTAAATTTATTTTTGCACACCTAAGTTTTTGTTTTTAAACGTCACTCACAAGGCCAACTTGTCCACAATTATGAATTAACAATTCAACACTTCTTTTATTTTACTATTAATTAACAATTCAACACTTCTTTTATTTTACTATTGATTTTGTATATTAATTATTATCATTCTACAATTTTAATTGGCTCATATAAAAGACTTCAACTATCTTTTATTGTCCAGGCTAGGGCTGATATTTTTTGACTGAAAATCGAACTGAACCGATGAGAAAATAAACTGAATTGACGAGAAAATAAACCAAACTGAACCGACTTATGTGTTATTGGTTCTGAACCCATTAGGGTTCGATTTTGAAACCATTATGTCATTTTTTTGCCTCCTCTCAACTAATTTTTTAGTTTCGCCCCTGCTTGTGCTTTCAAAATAGGATAAAATACTTTTTCCCATCTGAACTATCACAGTTTTGGCGCATCACCATATAAACTATTTTTTTTACAAACCACCATATGAACTACACAGGTTTGTCAATATGCCCCCTAAACCGGATATAAAAGTGGTTTAGGGGGCACATTGACAAACCCGTGATAGTTCATATGGTGGTTTGTAAAAGTATTTAGGGGGCACATATGGTGACCAAACAGCTTTTTGAGGCAAAACCACTTTTCTATCTGGTTTAGGGGGCACATTAACAAACCCGAATAGTTCAGATGGTGGTTTGTAAAAAAAATAGTTTATATGGTGATGCGCCAAAACCGATAGTTCGGATGGGAAAAATTATTTTACCCTTCAAAATATATTAAAATTCATGCAAATGTAATTTTGTATTGTTCTTTCACAATAATTCATATACAGATGTGAATATTACCTTTTAAATTATACATGGTAGATATATTTTTCACTTTGTATCAATTATAGGAGAAAATCAATAAATTACAGACCATATAGAAAATAAAACTCCTAACAAAACCTAAATTTTGATACATTCAAATCTCCATGAGGAACACAAAATATGAAAAAAGAAGGTATATTTTAAATGAATTTCACTTAAATTTTATATTGTTAAAACAATAGAACACTCATCAAGCAATTCAAAAAGACATTAAAAATATAAACTGAAAATATTATTATTAATTTAGGAGATGTAAAAATTCTTCATGTCTTGTTTTTAACAAAAGCCACGTATGTTATGTTGACACTCTCTTTAAATTCCCTTCCGTTAGCAATGAATATATATATATATATATATAAAGATTAATTTAATTAATTTTTAGAAACTATTTCTTGCCAAAAACATTAATTATTGTCTATAAATAGTAATTTAACATAATTTCATAAAATCACTCTTAATTATCCCCGATTAACATTAATTATTGTAAGGAATGGAATAAAAATCATTTTTTCACGCCATTATTTCTGATAAGGAGCGTACATACCCAATATGGAATAAAAATTATTTTTTCACGCCATCATTTTTTTCACGCCATTATGGAATAAATCTCCTATTCAACACGTTTTATACTTTTGCAGATTTAATACAAAAATAGTTTATATCTTCTACAAGATAATTCAAGCGTACAAATCCATAAGATATATTTTGTGGCTGCATATCATGCAATTTTTGTACAGTCTTGTTGACGAGCGTTTTCGGTCAACAGTTAAAATGAAAGTTATTGAAAGTGCAGAACTGGAAATAAAGGAAAGGTATGATTTAATCACGATTTTTATTAAACGATCACTTGGTCGGCCTCTCGTACGAGGTCGGCACTTGCGATATACTTATGATTATTACAAGGGATTTCTTACAAATTTAGAGAGAGAAAGTAGAAAGAAGCTAGAGTTAGTTGAGGGTTCAACAACCCCAAAATAAATGAGGCAATGGGCTATTTATAATGTCATTTAATTCCACTGTTTTGACAATGTTCGCTGTCTTGTCACGCAGTGATTCTGCAGTCCTGGTCGGCGCTTTTCTGACAGATCATTAAATGTAATTTGAGGTCTCCAATCATTACTTATGTGGGCATTAAATGCTCACATGGGCAGCATTTAATGCTATCAGCTTTTCTCCTTGGCTAGATCCTCTAGGGGAGGTAGACTAGTTCGGCTTGTCCTGTCCGCAATCATTACCCAGCCACTTGTTTTATTATATTCTTTCGAGCTCGTATTCTTCTTCGGGAACATTCCACTATTCGCCCAGGTCGGCACCCGAATCCATCGGGTTCTCCTAGGCCCCCTCAGACGATCTTCTTTACTCGGCCCTCAGTCATGTCGGCACCGTTTGTAGAAGGTGCCGATCTGGTTCGAGACTCAGAAGACCATCGTGGTCATGTTTCGTACCCATCCAGTTCGGCACTTCTCTCCGTCATGTGAGTCGGCCCCGGGTTACGGGTTCAGCTCTGCTTGGTCATCCGGGCCGGTCCGTTGACTTTGAGTGGGACTGATCCGGATATCAATAAGTCTGCCAACAAAAAAATAAATATTAATATTTAAATTCATCAATTAATTAAATTTGGACTCTCATGTAAAGATTAGTATTTACATTCCGATAAAATACCCAAAATCCTATATCATCCATTTTTTATTCCCTTTCCATAAGTTTGTAATTAAAAGCCACTCTCAACAATTAAATTATTTGAAATTAATATATATTAATTGATTCCTATATATATAGATACCATATTTTATCAACTTTTCCAATTCATGTCCATAAAAAAAACGCATAGAATTTCCAGAAAATATTAAAAAAAATGAGAGAGTTATTTGATACACTTCATGCTGTTAATAGGTCCAATAAACCTTATTTTATATTGAGAGTCATTCTAATTATTGAGATGAAATTTGACGTGGAGTCCAATAATTTTTTTGAGATCATCTTTCTAGATCGTGAGGTAATATTTTGTTATGTTATATCTATATTACTAATATCCGTAATTTTATTATTTAACTTATTTTGTATAACTTCATATTGTATACGTTCTGCGCATATGCGTGCATTTCGAGGTGTATTTAAGCAAGGCGATATATATGCGCTCAGGAACTACGACGTTGAAATTAATAATGGGATGTACAAGGAAACCAATCACCGGTGGATGCCTGTGCTCCATAGCAGGACTATTGTTTTCTAATACGATGGAAATTTCCCTACGTATAAATAATTAAGCTTGGAACAATTATAAAAATTAATTAGTTTTCATGTTTTTGGATTTTGATATGAATTGTTGCACTGCTTTCGTATGATTTTTTTAAATTTAATTTTAATCCATTGTCTTTAAATATTCCTCAGATTGAAACGATGATTTAATTATTTTAATGATGATTTCATTATTTTAATACCTGTCATTGTATAATCGGGATATTATAATCTTTACTAATAATTCATCATTAAAATAACTGCGAATCATTAGATAAACAAATATATATACTTAACAATAACGGATACACATTTTAACAATTATTAATAATTGCATTGATGTAGATTCTAATATAAATTGTAAACCAATTGTTTGTTGTTGTACTTCAACAGAAAATACAACAAATTGTAGGAGAAGGCGCGGCACAAGTCTTCGTGATTATTCATCCATGTCTTATCCAGTCAGAGATCATAGTAACTCTACTTCGAATCGCTTAATATTGGATGAGCTAAATTACGATCGGAAGGCTTTATCTGTAGAGCACGAAGCACTTCTTAGTAGAATGACCGACGAGCAGAAGAATGTTTATACAAAGATCATGGACGTTGTTGATTCTGCTAATGGTGGTGTATTTTTTGTATACGGATATGGCGGGACATGAAAGACCTACTTGTGGAGAACGTTGTCTGCGGGGTTACGATTGAAGGGTAAAATTGTTTTGTGTGTCGCATCAAGTGGAATAGCGTCTCTTTTGTTGCTTGGTGGAAGAACTGCACACTCTCGATTTCGCATACCGCTGAGTATTCATGAAAATTCATCCTGCGATATCGACCAGGCAAGTCTTCTTGCGGAACTTATAATACGATGCTCTCTCATTATATGGGATGAGGCGCCGATGATGCACAAACATTGCTTCGAAGCTGTCCAAACATCATTGCAGGCTATTATGGGAGCAGTTGACCCTTCCAACAGTAACAAGCCATTCGGAGGCAAACCTGTTGTATTTGGTGGAGACTTTCGACAAATACTTTCAGTGATTCCAAAGGGGAGTCATCAGGACATTGTGAATGCAACTATTAATTCTTTCGACATTTGGAGGAATTGTACTGTGTTGCGACTTACAAAGAACATGCGTCTTCAGAGCATTTCAGATGTAGACGAACGTGATGAGCTAACAACATTTGCTGAGTGGATTGCGAGCATTGGAGATGGGACTGTAGGAGGATCAAATGACGGTTGTGCCGCGATTGACATTCCAGGGGATATACGATTGGAAACCTCAGATGATCCAATTGCTACAATCGTCGAAAGTACCTATCCAATGTTCAAAAATGCAACTGGCGATCCAAGTTATTTGCAGGACAGAGCTATATTAGCGCCTACTTTGGAGGTCGTTGAATCTATCAATCAATACATGTCGGATATGAATTTTGTTGAAGGTCGTACATATTTGAGCTCTTACAGTACGTCTAAGTCAGATTCCGGCAATGGCTTTTTGGCTGATCTCCACACACCCGAGTTCTTGAAGAGCATTAAGTGTTCGGGAATGCCGAACCATGAGTTGCATTTGAAGATAGGAACTCCGGTCATGTTGTTGCGAAACATGGACCATTCTATGGGTCTGTGTAATGGCACACGTTTGATTGTTACGAAGCTCTCTCCGCATGTTCTTGAATGTAGGATATTGACTGGAGATCACGCAGGTGAGAAGGTGTTGATTCCTCGGATGAATATAACTCCTTCTGATGTTAGGGTTCCGTTTAAGTTCCAACGGAGGCAATTTTCCCTTATGGTTTCCTATGCCATGACCATAAACAAAAGTCAGGGTCAGTCTTTATCACATGTTGGACTGTTCTTGAAAAAACCTGTTTTTAGTCATGACCAGTTATACGTTGCTGTTTCACGTGTTACTAATAGGAATGGGTTGAAACTATTAGTTTGTGGGGATGATGAGTTACACAGTAATCAAACTAATAACGTTGTATATAAGGAGGTTTTTAATAATGTATAACTTTTTACCAATGAAGATTTTATGTTTACTTTATGAATGTCATACTATTATAACAACTTATTAATTTATGACCTTTTAATTTTTTAAAATTTTCCAAAACATGTACTAGCCCGTGCATCGCACGGGTTACATACTAGTTAATATATTATAAAACTTACGGAAAATGCTACGGTCACGTTATGAAATCATTTCGTCGGAATTTGCAACCATTAAATCAACTATTTCCGACGTTTAATGATGATCTAACGGTTACAAACTCCGACGAATCACCCAAAACTATAATATATCCTTTGCACTTAAAGAAACTTCAGTGCACATGTACCTTTTAGCAACATTGGGGTGTTCCTGGCCCGAGTAAATTATAATTTTAGTCATGTATGTTTCACTACCTAAATTTTTTTGTCCTCTTCAAATTGCAATTTTGATTTTCATCTCGGATATTTGCAAAAAAGTTACAAAAATGTCATTTTCATACATGAAGGACGAAATTGAAACATTTTTTTTGCAAAACATAAAGAATCTTTTTATTGCAAAAAAAAACATTTTTGTAATCATTTTGCAAGCATATAAAGCAAAAATAAAAAACACAATTCGAAGAGAACGAAAAAATTAAAATAGTGAAATATAAATGACTAAAATTATAATTTATTCTTTCTGGCCCATTTCCCATCTCTGAATTATTGTGGCCGCCATGGTAGAAAAACAAGCACCTGAAAAGAATATTATTAATAATATTTATACCACTCTACACACTAATCGCTTTCTCGGGTCGAATAATTTTCAATCATTTTGGGGGGCCAAAATTATGTCATCGTCTCCGCCTAAGCCGGTAGTTGGGGTAGGGGTTTTTCTGCTGAAGGGGGGCAGAGTCCTCCTGGGCCGCCGCCGCACCGCCGTCGGCCGCGGCACGTTCGCCCTTCCCGGCGGCCACCTCGAGTTCGGTTAGCATTCTCTCGATTCAATCAACCTCTTTATTCTTGTTATTATTATTATCTGCATAATTGGTCCTGCGATTGCTGAAATTTCGAAATTAGGTAACATTTCAATTTGTCCTTCATTTTTACGAAAGTATTGAATGGGTAAAATGTGAAGAGGCTGATATTTTCAATTAGGGATTGTGAAACAGAAAATACCTTGAGATTCAGTCTAATCTGTAGAAAAAACGCAAATATTGTGTGAGACGGCCTAACCGTTAACCATTAGACCGTCGTACGTTTCAACAAAAATGCATATTTATGTTATGAAATGTCGGTACTTTTCTTTATGTTTTTCGGAATTTTGTATATTTCTTAAAAAAAAAAAATGATCGTCTAACTGTTAGACCTACCTAACACTAGATACTATCCCAAGAGAATTATGTTTAGAAATAATTAGGGGTGTCCATAGGCTAATTGAGTCGACCGAATTTCGAAATCCAAAATAACCGATCAATGTATTTCCAAAAGCCGAAACGACCGAATTTATCTTCAAAACCATACCTTAACCGAAACGAATTAGTCGGTCAGTTTAACCGAACACAACTAAATAAATGCAGAACTAAAAATAAATTACACAACACAACTAAGACTCAAATTAAGTGCCGAACTTTAAAGGCTTACCCAACTTCTGAGTTAAAAATTGTAGTCATCCAAATAGATTAAGCACACAATTGAAGGACTTGAACAAGAAAGTAGAATTTGTGAGTGTGTTAATATCTTTTTTTTTTTTT